AGGAAATAAATTTTTTTACTTCAGTGTTAGCAAAATCCATCAAAGAATAGTTCTACTCTTTCTTTTAGAATAACGAGAATTAAGTTATTTACCAAGTTTTCCTCTTGTCACAAATGCTGGAAAGTTCAAAGTAAAGTGCAATGCTCAATTACAGCTTCTCCTTTTCTCATGGCTACATTTTGCTATCTTATAAACCTTACTAGATAATACAGTCTTTAATGAGCCCTGTCTTAGCCCTTTTTGTTACAAGGGCAGTATTTGGTAAAATTGCATTTTCCAAAAAATTTAATAAAAGGAAATACAAACGAATGATAGGCACTTGGATTCATATACACATCTACATATAAAATGCCAATTTTCACTGTGCAGAGCAATTTCATTACATAAGTGGTATGAAAAACCTGACCCTTAGGACACACCAGTATGCATAATTATTTAAAATTCCATGAATGGAGAAGTCTCCAGTTGTAAATAGTACTTATACAATGCAGATAGTCATGAAATGTTAAAAATATAACAAAATAGCCTCGCTGGTGTGGGTCAGTGGTTGAGCATTGACCCATGAACCAAGAAGTCATTGGTTCACTGGTTAAATTCCTGGTCAGGGCACATGCCTGGGTTTTGGTCTTGATCTCCAGTACAGGGTGTGCAGGAGGCAGCCAATCAATGATTATCTCTCTTCATTGATGCTTCTCTCTCTCTCTCTCCCTCTCCCTTCCTGTCTCTGAAATTAATACAAACGTATTTAAAAACAGAACAAAACAAAACCTGAAGAAAGAAAAAGATAGCAAAGTAAAGGAAAACTTGAAGACTTGTGAGTTGGGTCAGAGAGAGCATTATCTTCTGGAAAGAAGAGTTTTCCTTTAGATAATTATGACATTTCTAGTACATACAAGATGACAAGCTCATGAGGGTCTCTACATTAAGAATATTTTAAACTTTTGAACAATAATAGATACAGAGGCAGAGCTGCCTCAAACAGATTGTCAAACTGCAGCGGGAAGGCCGGGGAGGGTTGGGGGGCAGGAGGTAGGGGGGTAAGAGATCAACCAAAGGACTTGTATGCATGCATATAAGCATAACCAATGGACATAAGACACTGGAGGGTAGGGGAGGCTAGGGAACTGTCTAGGGCGGGGGGAAAAAATGGACACATATGTAATACCCTTTGTAATACTTTAATAAAAAAAAAAAGAATATTTTAAAAGTAACTATCCTTTTCACAGTGAGTTCTCTGTATATACCTGTCAGTGGCAACGCATCATCTCTCCCATGGCTCTTCTCTTTTCCGGCAGCCTGCTGCTGGGCGGCCAGAGCAGTGAGCTGGGCTGACTGCTTAATCAGGGACACACGGTAAAAGTAGTTCCTCCAAAACACTTCTTCCTTCACGCTTTTAAAGAAAAACAACAACACATTTGAGCATGCAGGCACACAGATGCATGCAGGAGTTATTTGTTGCATGGACATTGGAGCATATGATTTTTAGGAGCATTTGCAAATCCAAGAAAGGCTCCAAGAAGTTCTTATTTGCTTTTTTTGTTTGTTAATATATTTTTATTGATTTCAGAGAGGAAGGGAGAGGGAGAGAGAGATAGAAACATGAATGATGAGAGAGAATCACTGATTGGCTGCCTCCTACATGCCCCCTACTGCGAGCCCGAAACTTGAGCATGTGCCCCAGCCGGGAATTGAACCATGACCTTCTGGTTCATAGGTTGATGCTCAACCACTGAGCCACCACAGCTGGGCTTATTTGCTTTCGAAATGAAAGCTGAATAACAGGGTAAAAGAAAATTTTTAGATATTTTAATGATACCAAATTGCCTTCAGCAAAAGAAGACTGGGTGCTGCTGTGAAAGCAGCATGATCACCTGCGAGACTGGAAACAGAGCCAGGATCTCACCAATTATTTCCTGTTTACTGAAGAAATAAGAGCTTCCAAGCAGTGAAAAGAAAAGATTGTGGGTGTTGTTCCTTACGAAAGGAAATGTTTGGTTGCAAATAACTAGCAATCTGTAGGAGCCAGCATTGAGGTGGGAATGGTTGATAATGCAACATGTGAATCTGAACTGGATCCTTTTGCTAAAAAAGATATTATTAGGACATATGGTAAAACCAGAATAGGGTCTGAGAATTAAGAGAGTAAAAACCCGGAAGTGGCATTTCCTGATTTGGGTGGTTACATAGTGGTTATGCAGAAAAATCCTTGTTTGTAGAAAATACACACTAAAGTAATCATGAATGATGGAGAATCAGAATGACTCAGAAAAATGACAAAGAAAAAGTTCTTTAGACTTCTCACCTTTCTATAAATTTGCTGATTGTTTCAAGATAAACATTGATGACTATGCTCACCTCAGAGCAATTAAATAAAAACACCTTTTAAACAAAAGACTCAACAAAAACACAGAATGTACCCCACCCCCCCCCCACCCCTGCCCTGCCCCCCAAACCAAGGACAGCCAAGGAACAGCTTTGGTGACTTGTGGGATATGTGTGGTGTTTTGTGTTCTTGTTTTTTTTTTGTTTTGCCTGGAGGAGTTGTTTGTTTTATGTTCTAAAAATGCTTTGCTAGTAAAAATGACAAGAGTTTACCTCCTGCTTTATTAGAAGGTTCTTAGAATGGGGGATGTGGGCGAAAGGGGCCACATGCTGACATGACAAACTCAGGAGAGGCCTGCATGGCAGTTTTACAGACTTGGAGACCTAAAGTAACCACAAAGGATGGTTTGAAATTAAACCTTAACTAAAAGCAGTTATGGTGGGCAGTTACGTCCTAAGCCGATATCTTCACTGATACAGTCAACCTTTACTGTAACTGAGCCTGAATTTCATGTATAAATATGGATGTAACCCTGCCATTCTCCGGAGCACTATCTCAATTCGTTGAGGTTCTGCTTCCCGGCATATGTCGACAGTTTGGCTCAAATAAACTCACAAAAATTCTTTACAGGTTTCAATGGTTTTTTTTACGTTAACAGGGAAAATCAAGGAAGAAAGTATGACAGAAAAACTTGGAAAGAAGAAAATCAGTGAGAGCTCAGAAAACACTGAGGACCAGGCTTGTGAATGAGGACAGGGCTTGCCTTAGAAAGGATATCAGAACACAGGGTGATCATGTCTGTAAATGGCCAAACTGGTCCAGAAAGCTAGCTTTTAAAGTGCCACAGGCAAAATGAATGATTATTTCCACAAACTAGGCCGGGTAACAAGCTGACATGATGCTAGATACAGCCATCTTTTCTTTCATTAATCCCACCAACATTTACTGAGCGCACATGCAGTAGGCCCCATGCTAGGTGCTGGGGGGCAGGTTAAGGGGTGCATAAGTCAACACAGATGGTCACAGCTATAGTAACCTCTTAGTTGCTCAGTTCTCATCAAGTGCCAAGAAGCATTTCCCAAACTCATGTGGCCTCAGAAGTCTTTTTTTCTTATAGCACCTCTTGGAAGTAATTTGGCAGGAGGGAGACTTGGTTTAACAGCAGCTAGTAAGGACTTACAGCTGACTACAAGTTTAGCCTAGAAATATCAGTATGCTACAGCTGCTGGAAGAGCTAATGAAATCTTAGGTTGCATTAAAAAGCACACAAGATTCACTACAGTGTGCTCTTCTGCAATCAGACAACACACCATATCCACTTTGGAAAACTTGCTTTCAGAAGGTAATCACTGGGAAGGTGAGGGGTACATAGACACCTGGGGAACAAATGCAGAACTTAGGGCGTTTACCCGAGTAAATTCAGGGGCCTTAAATCAAAACATCACAGCCATACAAAAGTGAGATTAACTTTCCCATGAGGTAGTGAGTGGCCTGAATATTTTCAAGGTAACTTTTTGTTGTTGTTAATCCTCACCAGAGCTTATTTTTTCCATTGATTCTTTAGAGATAATGTAAGGGGGGGGAGAGACAAAGAGAGAAACATCAATGTGAGAGACACATTGACTGGTTGCCTCCCACACTCTCCCCGACCGGGGGCCAGGGGCAAGCTTATGACCAAGATATATGCCCTTGATGGCAATTGAACCCGAGACCCTTCAGTCCACAGGTCGACGCTCTAATCATTGAACACCCAGCTAGTGCTCAAGGTCACTTTAATTCTGAATTCTATGAAATGTCCAAAATGAACAGTGTACTATCTACAGTGGATCATTGGCAATGTTTGCTCTCTTAATAAAAACAAATATCTGGCCCCGGCCAATGTGGCTCAGTTATCTGTGCATCATCCCATGCACCAAGGGGTCACCAGTTTGATTCCTGGTTGGGGCACATGCCTGGGTTGGGGGCTTGATCCCCAGTAGGGAGGTGTGTAGGAGGTAGCTGATCAATGTTTTCCTCTCTCACATCAATGTTTCTCTCGCCCCTCCCCACTTCCCCTTCCTCTCTCTAAAATCAATAAAAATATATTTAAAACACACACACACAAACATGTGGATTATTTTCTTTTCCTAGAGTCCTCTCCCTCTTTTTTTTTAAAATATATTTTTATTGATTTCAGAGAAGGGAGAGGGAGAGAAAGAAAGATCAATGATGAGAGAGAACCATTGATTGGCTGCCTCCTGCACTCCCCCTACAGGGGATCGAGCCCGCAACCCTGGGCATGTGCCCTTGAGTGGAATCGAACCTGGGACCCTTTGGTCCGCAGGCTGACACTCTATCCACTGAGCCAAACCAGCTAGGGCAGTCCTCTCCCACTTGATGTAAGAAGCAGTCACAGGCACACCGCAGAAATATTTGGTTACCCTCTGATGGGAGTCACAATGCAGATGACATAGTAAAGGTTCTAAGAAGCCTTACAATAAAAATCCATCCAATGTAGCAACTCCCAAACATTTATTTGATCACTTATGCTCCAAGGACTACTTTAAGGCATTAGTATGCTGTGAACAGACTCTAGGAAACAATGGGCATACGTACAAGTCTATGTCCCAGGAAAGGACTCTGATTTCCCTACTGTCACCAGAGTAAAGGCCTCAGAGGGTGCCTTTGATGCACCAACAAGGCCCTGTCTCTTACCAGCACTGCCATCATAGGGAAGTGCTAATAAACTAAAAAGCATTTTGCAATACAGAGAATATGTTTGTTTTCTCTTCTAAATTGTTCCTGCTTAGTGATGGCTTCTGCTCAGAAAAAGTGTCTCAAATGATCAAAGTTGCATTTCTGCATGTAAGGAGGAAAGCGCCTTATTTATGTGTGATGGCTCATTTTTGTTTTGTTTTATTATGGAAATTTCAACCAAAGTGGAGAGACTAGAAAAAAGAATGCCACGTACCGGGACCTAACTTTAAGAAATACTACCATTGCCCTGGCTGGTTTGGCTCTGTAGAGCATTGGCTTGCGGACTGAAGGGTCTTGGGTTCAATACCCGTCAAGGGCACACGCCTGGGTTATAAGCTCGATCCCCAGTAGAGGGCGTGCAGGAGGCAGCCAATTAATTATTCTCTCTCATCACTGATGTTTCTACCTCTCTCTTCCTCTCTTAAATCAATAAAAATATATTTAAAAAAATAAAAGAAGAAAAGAAATGCCACCATTTTGCAAGTCATGTTTCATCTATGCCTCCTCCCCTGCACACAACACTTTTCTTTGGGAGGAGGTTGGAACATTTTAAGGCAATGACAGATATCAGATCCTTTCATCTATAAATACTTCAGTAAGCGTTTCTAACTGATAAAGACTTATAAAATCAACCCTAATTTCTAAAAGCATCCCTAACAGAATTAGCAGTAGGAAAGTAGAATTATATTACTCAACTAGAGGCCTGGCACAACATTTGTGCACTAGGGGGTGTGGAGGTCCCTCAGCCCGACCTGCACTCTCTCCAATCTGGGAGCCCTCAGGGGAGCCCTCTCCAATTGGAGTTTCTGTCTGTCTTTGCAATCATATGAGCAAATTGAGACCCCAACTCAGTTTGGTTTGTTGCTCACAGAATAACAGAGGAATTTTTTTTTCTTTGCTTCATTGGTGGAGATTTCCTGGAAGTTTTAGGATACCTTCCCTTTAATTTTTCCTAGATGCTCCGATTTTACTTATGTCTCTCACCTTTGCTTTCCCTCCATCCCCCACTGCAACAGTAACTTGCTCCAGGCTCACTTTGCTCTAGGAGAGCAAAAGTGTCTAGGAGAGCTGTCTGCAGAGGGGACAGTGCCTTTGGGCAGAGGAAAAGCCTCAGGTGGGAAAGAGGACAAGAACACTGCTGCCGGGGAGCAGAGCGGAGTGCACGGAAGGCAGCAGCTGGTCCTGATGGGCCTCACAGACGTTAACTTAAATGCGCTCTACCTTTTAAGCAGGGAGGAAACAACACATCTTAGCCCCACCCCAAATTTCCTAAAAGTCCACTCTTCATTTTGATTCTATGGCACCCTGTGTGTGTGTGGGTGTATGTGTATGATGCTGAAGGGCCATAGAGCCCATTTTTATGAAAAGATTCTGAGACTTTCCTGGCCCCCATTCCATAATTCTTCCCTGATACTGTGCACACCACCGAGGCCATTAGAAAACCCAAATACAGCCCAGTCAGCATGGCTCAGGTGGTTGAGCATCAACCTATGAACCAGGAGGTCACGGTTCGATTCCCGGTCAGGGCACATGACCAGGTTGTGGGCTCGATCCCCAGTAGGGGACATACAAGAGGCAGCCTATCAATGATTTTTTCTCATCATTCATGTTTCTATCTCTCTCTCCCTTTCCTTTCCTCTCTGAAATCAACAAAAATATATTTTTTAAAAAAGAAAGAAAATGCAAATACATGTTTTGTGAGCAGTGCCACTCAGGCTCGCAAACACAGTGCTTACAGCTTAGGAACAAGGGCGAATCTCATCCTGCTCAGCAGTTCATCCTCTTGGAGCATGACCAGGGCAACAGGGTACATCTGATCAAAGTCAAAATGAAACTGCACGCCAATTGGAGGGTCACGAAGGAAGTTCCTCTTGTCCTTTGATGAAAAGGGGAAAAACCACAGAACACAATCAATATGTACCAATGCATCACTGATTTGATGAATATTGAATTCTCCTAAAGACTTCACTGCAGAGTTCACTGAGCTATTGTTAACCTGTCCACTTCAGAGAGAGCAGAGAAAGACCGATCCTTTCATATATTTTTAAGTCTCAACTGGAGAGCCTTGAGGAAATTCAATTATATAATTAGTTAAAATTATATAGTTTGAAATCATATGAACACGTTTGTTTTAGTGGGCACTGTTAGGTATGTGAAAAATAGTGTAGATAATCTTAGAAACATTCTAACCCAAAATTGACCATGGTGGTCATATCAGAAAAGTAAGTCTGGCTGGCGTGGCTCAGTGGTTGATCTATGAACCAGGAGGTCACGGTTTGATTCCCAGTCAGGGCATATACTCAGGTTGCAGTCTCTATCCCCTGGGGTGTGCAGGAGGCAGCCAATCAATGATTCTCTCTAATCATTGATGTTTCTATTTCTCTCTCCCTCTCCCTTCCTGTCTAAAAATAAAAATAAAAATATTAAAAAGAAACCGACCGTGCAATTCACTTCTGAAGTGTGTATAGACCATGCATTCATCTCACACCTCTCTATAGAAGGCCAAGGCCCAGGCTCTGCCTGACAAATGTCTGCAAAGCTCCACAGGTCAGTCAGGGCTCAGGAATGTAATGGTGACAGAGAGACACAGTGCAGCTTCTTCACAGAGCATGCCAGGCTGGAAAAAGGCCTGTTATTGTTGCTTCAGTCAACAAGTCTTCGCTCAGCCATAGTGTTAGGGCCTGGGCCCATAGCTGACATTCTGGCTTCTTTGTCACAACACTGTGAAGTGAGCACTTCCATCCTCACTTTACAGATGAGGAAAATGGATCAGGGAAGCAAAATGGCTTGTCTAAGGTCGGGTATGTGCTATAGCAAGTGGCAGGGTCAGGACTCCAGGCCTCCCCTTCCAGGGTCGAGTATTCCTCCCAATCCAGTACAACCCCAATGGGCTGCTATGCATCTCTCAAGCTCTGTCCACTTTAATCTAGGACTTTACTCTACATGATGAACACTGTCACAGGTGTGACAACTCTACAAGGACAGCAAGATATAGAGATCCTGCCACTATGAACTTATGCAGAGCCTCCACCTTTCTCACATAACCCTCTCAGCTGCTCACTCCTGCAAACTGCCTCCTGCAAGTTTCCAATGGAAAAGGTGTGGTGCTAGGATGCTTGCAGTGGACAGGAGGATCCTATATAATAAAGAACTAATATGCTAATTAGACCAAAGGGTGGAACGACCTTCCTGAACGACCAGTGGGCGGGAGGCGGGGCCGCTGGGGATAGGAGGCAGCTGGGGCTGCCTCAGCCCCAGCTGCCTCCACCCTTGCAGCCCTGGCTGCTGCCACTCTCTGTGGGACGATAGATGGGGGTGGGGGGGAGCGTGTGGAGGGGCTCCAGGATTGATGCCCTGCAGAGGATGGCAGCAGCCAGGGCTGCGAGGGCCGAGCCCCTTGCACGAATTTCATGCATCGGGCCTCTAGTAGTGAATAACAGGCTCCCCTCAACTCTCCCTTGCCCTGCCAGATATCAATCTCCTTTTAAAAATATCTGACAAATAACAACTTTAAGTGAATTCTTCATGCTGCTGCACTCAGGTTTAGATGCCTTAAACTAAAGGTTAGAGAATCCACAATCCATTAAGAGGTATAGTCAACACACTGACAAAATAAAATGTCATACAAACATTTTGTCATGAGTGTATTAAAATTGGAGTCTCATTAAAAAGAAATTTAACCCAAGACTGTATTAAAGAAAGCACCTCCTTCACAGAAGATCCTCATATGGCCTGTGACCACAGTCAGCACATAACATGGAACTCCAACAGGACACTACTGTGACTCTCCAATGTACCCGGGCCACTACATCCAACCTGGAAGAGCTGTGACATTCATGTCTCTCTTTAGTTAGCCACTTCTCATTAGCCAAGAAGGAAACAAAAGGAAAAATACAAAGGCAAAGCTTCCCTGTATAGGGCACATTTCCTAGGGAATGAGGGTGGCTTGGAATTCCTCTGACATGGCCCATGACCCTGCTGATTAGTGTATAAAGTGATGTCTCCAAATCTCCCCCTTTCCTATAGACTGAGCATTAATAACTAAGGCAAAAAACTGCTGCTGGAGCCCAGTCAGCATGGCTCAGTGGTTGAACATTGACCTATAAACCAGGATATCCCGGTTCGATTCCCAGACAGGGCACATGTCCAGGTTGCAGATTGATCCCCAGTGGGAGCTGTACAGGAGGCAACTGATCAATGATTCTCTCTCATCATTGATGTTTCTATCTCTCCCTTTACCCTCCTCTCTGAAATCAATAAAGATATATTAAAATAATAATAATCCTAATATATAAAAACCCTGGGTCCATCACAACCAGAGGCTCGACTAACCAGAAGTCAGTCCTGCCCAATCAGAACCAAATTGGCCAGCAGAGGAGGGTGTTTGGGGGTTATCAGGCTGGCAAGAGAGCAGTTAGGTGTTAGTCAGGCTGGCAGGGAAGCGGTTAGGGGGTGATCAGGCTGTCAGGCAGAAGCGGTTAGGGGCAATCAGGCAGGCAGGCAGGCGAATGGTTAGGAGCGAGCAGTTCTGGATTGTGAGAGGGATGTCGACTGCCGGTTTAGGCCTGAGGTGTCCCAGATTGGAGAGGGTGCAAGCTGGGCGAGGGGACATACCCCCGAGTTCATGCATTTCATGCACCGGGCTTCTAGTCCTATAGTAAAAGGCTAATATGCGAACCGACCAAAGGGCGGAATGACTGGTTGCTATGATACGTACTGACCACCAGGGGACAGACACTCAATGCAGGAGCTACCCCCTCGGTGGTCAGTGCACTCCCAAAGGGGGAGTGCTGCTCAGCCAGAAGCCAGGCTCATGGCTGGCAAGCTCAGCAACGATGGCGGGAGCCTCTCCCGCCTCCACAGTGATGTCCAACTGCCAGTGGGGAGCGGGCCTAGGCTGTCAGTCATACATCCTGAGGGCTCCCAGACTGTGAGAGGGTGCAGGCCAGACTGAGGGACCCAACCCCCCGAGTTCATAAATTTCGTGCACTGGGCCTCTAGTAACAATAAAAAAAAAAGCTGGTATTGGGAACTACTCAAACCATTAAGATAGACTGTTTCTACTCTATTTCTTGTTTTAAGAAATACCTCTTTTGTTTGTAAATATGATACATACCTGTTTTTAAAGAATTCAAAACATGAAAGAAAAGCATAGAGTCAAAACTCCCACCATCCATGGACAACCCATGAACACCCTCTTGGCCATGTCTCTGCATACATACAGTATCTGCACAATTATAATTTGACCGAAATAGAAAGACATGCTGCATGCTGCAGATCACTTGTTTTCCCTTTACCCTCAGAGCCACGAACATCTTCCCATCTCCAAAACAGCTATGTCTACACGGAATGAGCCATAATTTACTCAACCAGGCCCATTTTGGTAGTCAACACATTGTTTCTAATCTTTTCTGATAAAGATTCTCATCTAAAGTGATCTCTTCAAACTAAATTCCCAGAAGTAGGATTTCTGGTCCAAGAGTAGGATTATTTTGATACATATTGCCCAAACTTTCCTCTAGAACAGCCGTGGGCAAACTACGGCCCGCGGGCCAGATTCGGCCCGTTTGAAATGAATAAAACTAAAAATAAAAAAGACCGTACCCTTTTATGTAATGATGTTTACTTTGAATTTATATTAGTTCACACAAACACTCCATCCATGTTTTTGTTCCGGCCCTCCGGTCCAGTTTAAGAATCCATTGTGGCCCTCGAGTCAAAAAGTTTGCCCACCCCTGCTCTAGAAAGATCTAAACAGTTTATGTTACTACTAAACGCACCGGTTTCATCTCATCTTGCTCATGCTGGATTTTTAAAATATTTTTGGTTTAATAAAGCAAGAACCTGAGCCTAAATGGATTTTAGTTATTTTACCTTCCAATGTAAACATTTCTAAGCCTGAAACTGCCCCCAATGTTTCACCAAGATTTCTACAGCAGCCTCTTAATGGGCCTGGTTGTCCACTGGAAAGAAACCGTGGCTAGAGTGCTGGCAATCAATGCAGTGGGGCGTGAGGGAGGAGAGGCTTACGTGTAAAGCTCAGGGCCTTAGAAGCTGCAGAGGGAGTTTAGATCTTAATCTATGAGAGGTGAGATGCCATTAGAAGGGTCTATGTAGGGAAGTGACACCAAATGATTCATGCAATAAGTGGACCCCTCTGGCTGCTGAAGGAAGCTTGTACTCGAAAGGTGCAAGGAGGGGACAATAGTCGGGATGCCTTGGGTAGGAGATGATGGCACCAGGACCACAGTGGTGACGGCAGAGAAGTGTACTAGAGCTATATTCTGAACAAAGCACTGAAAGGACTGGGGGCAGGAGGCAGTGGGGAGGGGAAGTGTGCCCCAAAGAAGACCCCTACGTTTGTGAATAACTGGAGTCGTATTCTGAGATGGAGAAGATAAGGAGAGGAACAGGTTTGGGGGGGGAGGGTCAAAGGAGCTGGGAGAGTTGACTGGTGAGTATATAATTTTTGCCCTCAAATGATAATGACTCACTGTTCCCATTCCTTTCAGGGATAAGCAGGTGTGTAACGTCAGTGTCAAATTTGGCTGTAACATGGTAAGCAATACATGGTGTTCCCACTGAACTCATAATGGATGCTCAGGTTTTTAAAAGGTTTACTAATGGAAAGAAAAACCTTAAAATGGCCTAGGGGAGGGCAATGGAAGAGAGGCAAAGCCCAGTTTATTTGTTGTCTGGACTGAGGTTCCATTTATGACTAGTTAAAAAGAAAAGTGAGGGCCGAGACTGGTTTGGCTCAGTGGATAGAGCGTCGGCCTGCGGACTGAAAGGTCCCGGGTTCGATTCCGGTCAAGGGCATGTACCTGGGTTGCGGGCACATCCCCAGTGGGGGATGTGCAGGAGGCGACTGATCGATGGTTCTCTTTCATCGATTGTTTCTGACTCTCTATCTCTCCCTTCCTCTCTGTGAAAAATCAATAAAATATATTAAAAAAAAGAAAAGAAAAGTGAGGTAAAAACAAAGCTTGAGCCCTGCTGGTTACAGCTCAGTGGCTGAGCGTCAACCCATGAACCAGGAGGTCCTGGTTCAATTCTTGGTCAGGATACATGCCCAGGTTGCGGATCAATGATTCTCTCTCATCATTGATGTTTCTTTCTTTCTTTTTTAAAATATATTTTTATTGATTTCAAAGAGGAAGGGAAAGGGAGAGGGAGAGATAGAAACATCAATGATGAGAGAGAATCATTGACTGGCACACCCCACACTGGGGAAGAAGCCCACAACTTGGGCATTTGCCCTTGACTGGAATCGAACCCGGGACCCTTCAGTCCACAGGCCGACACTCTATCCACTGATTCAAACCAGCTAGGGCTGAAAGTGATTTCTGAAACTATCAGGTCTACACAACTGTTAACTAGTAATGCTATGTTCACTCTGAAATCCCAATTTTGTGGGCTAGCATATGGAATTTTATTTCTTTCAATTTCAGTTTCAAATACATATAGTAGTTAAAAAGAAACTTAAAATATAATCTCTTCATTCAGAAGAATGAGAATGCTGTCTAGAAACTTTGTATGATAGCATATTTCAAAAGATTATCTATCTTAATAACAAGAATTCTTTTAAGGCTGAAAAAAAATTTCTTTGCAATAGGCTATTCTATTCCATTAAGAAAAAATAACTCATGGAGAAACAAATGAAAAGTTAGTGAAAAAAGCCCGGGCTGGGTAGCTCAGTTGGTTAGAGCATCATCCCGAAACAACAAGGCTGCAGGTTCGATCCCTGGTCAGGGCACACATATAAGAATCAACGAAAGAATGCATAACTAAGTGAGACAACAAATCTCTCTCTCTCTTTCTTTCTACCCCTGTTTTCTTTCTCTCTAAAATCAATAAATAAAAATTACAAGAAAAGTTAGTGAAAAAAGTAGTGAAAGTTGATATGTACATCCCTAACAACTTAAAAGATTTTAAAAATTGTATAGAAGAAAAACATCTGCTAAAGATAAAATTGTGATATGAAGAAAGTACTTCTACACAGAATATCACAAGATACTTACAGCTGATAAGGCCAAAATCTGTTGCTGAATTGTTTCTTCATCATTACTATCAACCCATGGGGGCACTGCTGCTTCTGAAAGGTTTTTAACAGCCAAAAAGAAAAGGAAAAAAACAAACAGGTTACAAGGGTTACTCTGCAATCGTGGTTTGAAAAAATGAGCACGTTTCCATACAACCATTTTAGCAAATTACTAATGAGTTCCAAATATGACCATTCATCATAATTTCCAGACTTCTTTTTGTTTGTTAATCCTCACCTGAGGATATTTTCCCATTGATTTTTAAAGAGAGTGGGAGGGAGTGGGAGAGACAGAAAGAAACATTGATGTGAGAGAAAAACATTGACTGGTTGCCTCCTGCATGCACCCCGATGAGGGCTGGGGAAGCTGCAACTGAGATATATGCCCTTGATTGGAATCGAACCCGGAACCCTTCCAGTCCGAGGGCCGATGCTCTATCCACTGAGTCAAACCGGCTAGGGCATAATTCCCAGACTTAATGCATAAATCTTATGCATATATGTATTTGGTAAAAAAAAATTACTTGAATTATACAATGAAGAAATTGGGCAACACCTTGACCAGGTGACCAAAATCAACATCACCATCGACAGAGACATGGCCATTGTGGGTCTCCACATGTGATATCTTGAGAAAGACACATTATCTATGCAGTATTCTGGCCAAAAACACATTATCTGCATCTAATTGTAATCTAGTCACAAGGAAATATCATACAAAACTCAAATGAGAAATGGTCTATTTAATAATAAGAAAGGAGGGGTATTCTTCAAAACCACTTATGTCATAAAAGAGAAAGAAAGGCTGTGGAAATGTTCCAGATTAAGGGAGACTAAGAGATGTGACAAAAAATGCAATCCCTGGACTGGATGCTATGTTGAGGGGGAAAATGTATAAAGGATTTTACTGGGTCAATGACAAAATTTGAATGTGAGTATTATATCAATGTTAAATTTCCTAAAGCTGGAAAACTAACAATCTGGGTAGAAGGTATACGGTTATTTTCTGTATTAGTGTTATTGTTGCAACTTTTCTGTATATTGAGATTATTTCCAAATGTCTGGCATGTAATAAGTGCTCAATAAAATTTGGCAGGTAAGTAAGTCGCGTACAACAAACCTATACTATACCTGATTTTTTGGTATGCTGCTCCTCAACAAATTTTTTCTGTTCCTTCTGAAAATCTCCTATAATGGTCTGTTAAAAAATACATAAAGAGTCAAATTACCTTGAAAATTTTATTATTAGGAAAGAACTACATTCAAACTAGATTTGTGAAGTCTATTTGAGATATTTTATTTATTTTCTTCAAATGAAAATGCTAAAAAAGTGATAGTTCACCCTATCTATAAGAAGGAATTGTCAACATTTTTGAATTTCAAGTATACAACCTCTTTTTATGATAAATTATCTTTTCAAATGCAAAAATGAGTTAAAAACTGAACTTTTGTATTATTCGAAAAAATAAGCTAGGTCAAATCATTCTAACAAATAGTACATACAACAAAAGTATCTAAATAACAAGCTATCTAAAGTTTAACTGATGACCTCCTCAGTTCAAATAATTACCAACATAAATAAAATCCACCACTGGATAAAATGAACAAACTCAACCCATTAGAGTCTTAAAAGTATTGTCACTAATGGGCTAAGACTTTAAAAAATTAACCAAATCATGAAAAGCATAAATATATTATGAAGTGTTATAGTTGAAAATTAAACTCATAATATGAAAAGTTTTGTATTACTCGAAAGTATCAACATACCTTAGACAACATAAAAACCAAGGTTACTTAAATCACATCATTTATATCATAGCTACTTGTTACATAAAAAGAGAAAAAATCCAAGAATCTCAACTATTAATATTTTTATGAGAATATGATATCCTAGCTTGGCCGGTGTGGCTCAGTGGTTGAATATTGACCCATGCACCAAGAGGTCACTAGTTTGATCCCCAGTCAGGGCACAGGCCCAAGTTGTAGGCTCGATCCCCAATAGGGGGCATGCAGGAGGCAGCCGGCAGTATTTCTCTCATCGATGTTCTATCTCTAAAATCAATAAAAACATATTTTTTAAAAAGAATACAATATCCTACTTGGGTTAATAAAATTCATAAGAAAAAGGGACAATATTAGTTAATGCATTTCATAAATTTCTACTATCAAAGATATTTAAATGTACCTTATCGATGATGTCATCTATTTTTCCTTCTTCTACTGATTTCTTTATCGATTGTGCTGTTTCAGCAACTGATTCGGTTATCTTTTTTGTAGCAGCAGTCGCAAAGTTAAATAGATAGCCTATAAAGAATAAAAAAAAGAGTCTATGCTCCATTCCAGTACAATGGTTATTGTATTTATAATTTCTCCCTTAAAGAGTTCTTGTATGAATCTTAAGCCATGGGGCATGTTCCTTGTTAATTAGGACTGGACACAAAAAATGAGAAGCACTGCCAGTACTCCACTTTCTTGGTGGACTGGCCATCCATCCTGGGCCTTTAATTCATCTCTTTCAAAGACCCTTAGCAAACTCCCCAGTTCTCCCCCAGCAACTGTTTCAAATTGTCTTGTTACCCAGCTGGTGTGGCTCAGCAGTTGAGCGTCGACCTATGAACCAGGAGCTAATGGTTCGATTCCTATCAGGGCACATGCCCAGGTTGCAGGCTCAATCCTCAGTAGGGAGTGTGCAAGAGGCAGCTGATCAATGCTTCTCTTTCATCATTGATGTTTCTACCTCTCTCTCCCTCTTCCTTCCTTGCTGAAATCAATAAAAATATATATTTTTAAAAACTGGTATTTTAGCATAATAATCTTAATTCTCAGATTTTAATGACTCCATGGGTGAAGTACACTATACATACTGAACACAGAGAAAGCAGTTATTGCCCTCAAGGAAAGTCCATTTCTAAACAAACAAAAAACTTATAGACAACCACAGGAGCACAATTACTAGTATTCATTAAACAGAGGCACTCAGAGAAGGGAGGAAGAAGGTCTCTCAGGGGTAATTAGAGAGTGGACTGGATTCTGAAGTCAGAGAAAGAGGGAAGTGGGAGAGCATGATAAGAGATTTTTAGGTAAGTAGCTCATAAAGACAAGATGTGGTTTATTAATTTTGCAAAGAGATAATCTGACACCACGTTAAAGACAGTTTTTTTTTAAAAATATATTTTATTGAGTTTTTACAGAGAGGAAAGGAGAGAGATAGAGAGTTAGAAACATCAATGAGAGAGAAACACCGACCAGCCGCCTCCTGCACACTCCCCACTGGGGATATGCCCGCAACCAAGGTACATGCCCTTGACCGGAATCGAACCTGGGACCCTTCAGTCCGCAGGCCGACGCTCTATCCACTGAGCCAAACCGGTTTCGGCGAGACAGTTTTTATTAACTAGTTTCTAGCTCTCTCTCCCTCCTTGTCTGAAATAAATAAAAATATATTTTAAAAAAAGTTAACAGGAAATAACAGGAGGACAATGTCCACTTCGGGAACTTAGGCACAAGAGAAGGTCTGAGCCACGGAAGAAAAGGAAGTAAAACATCTGTGAGTGAGCACCCCTCCAAAACCTTATGGAAGGAGTGGGCAGATCAGGATCACTGAATGTAGTCATTTTATCTTCATTTTCATTGTCATTTTTAGTCTCACAACCATCCTGGGAAGAGTAGATATAATCTGTCCAGTTTACAGATAGGGAAGCCAAGGCTCACAAAGGATAAATGATTTGTCCACTATGACAGAGGCAGATCTACCCCACTGACTGCCTAGCCAATAGCCTATCTCCTTCCACCTTGACAAAGAAACCCCAATTTGATGGGTGCTCTTCAAGCCTGGGACTGGTTTTGGGGACCCTGGACACAAGCAATCAAGGTCTTCTCATTAAGCCTCTGTTGTGGGACTTTCTATAATTTGGAGCTGGATTTTCTGCAATTTGCAAATGATCCTATATCAGCCATGGGCAAACTACGGCCTGCGGGCCGGATCTGGCCTGTGGAGCCGAAAGAGCGGAGGATTCTCTTGCTCTCCCCTCCGCTCCTTCACCAGCAGCAGTGTTAACATGTATTAGTTCACA